TATATGGGAACTTGGCTGAACTTCCCAAGAGCATCTGGCTGCAGACATCAGCTGGCGTCTTTGCCGTGACAGGAAATGACGTATCCGGAAAAACAAGTGTCATTACCTTCGCCGGAACTCATTGCCTTTGCCGGAAGTAGTTTTTTTTTCGGGTCATTGCCTTTGCCGGAAGTAGTTTTTTTTCTTGAATACGCTTTATTGACAAAGCACAAAAGTAGTTTGGATTTGTCAAAACCATACCGTGTCGCTTTTCTCTTCGATTTGTACACATTTAAGAGAAAAATTACACGGTGGGTCATTACCTTAACCAGAAGTCATTACTTTCACTGGAAGTAGTTTTTAAAAAAACAAAACTTACCGGAAAAAGCTTTTTATTTCGGATTTTTTTTTCTCTTCAGATCTGGACTTGCAAACTTAAGTAACGTTGTTACCTGCGTTGCATGAAAATTGATTAAATCCCTTTGTTCTTCAGACAGGGAATTTTTATGACAGTAGCACATACATACATACATATACATATATATACACACACACACACACACACACATATATATGTATATATACACACACACAATAAAAGGCTGTAAAGTGAATTAAAAAAACATATGGATAAAATGAGAACACGTTAAACTAAGACTTTTCAAAATGTGCAAACAAAATACTACTTGCTAAATATTCAGTTTTGTTAAGCCCAAGATGAACTTTTGACCTACACCAGTTGCTAAAGTACAGGACTCCCAGAAGCAGTGAAAAACATTTCAGCAACACTCTTCTCTCACCAGCAACAAAAATTAGTTATTAAATATCCATAACACTGTCCTATTGTGTATCACAGCAGCTCATTGCAACAGAATTTAACTACTACAGCTGATAACTATTTAGCTAGTTGGTATTTATTTTGAGTGAAAGACAATAAAACCAAAGAAACACTTAATTTCACAACCATTTTATTTTGGGTACAAATGAATTTGCTGAAGCATGGCTTTCTTAGCTGCATATCGATTCATCCCCTCCCATTTTTCCAACACTTTTATTGTTACCTGAAAAACATGCAGGATTACTTCATCGTCGTCGTCGTCCTCCGCTTGTCCGGGTCCGGGTCGCGGGGGCAGCATCCCAACTAGGGAGCTCTAGACCGTCCTCTCCCCGGCCACCTCCACCAGCTCCTCCGGCAGGACCCCAAGGCGTTCCCGGACCAGATTGGAGATGTAACCTCTCCAACGTGTCCTGGGTCGACCCGGGGGCCTCCTGCTGGTAGGACATGCCCGAAACACCTCCCCGGGGAGGCGTCCAGGAGGCATCCTGACCAGATGCCCAAACCACCTCAACTAACTCCTTTCGATCCGGAGGAGCAGCGGTTCTACTCCGAGTCCCTCCCGGATGTCCGAGCTCCTCACCCTATCTCTAAGGCTGAGCCCGGCCACCCTACGGAGGAAACTCATTTCAGCCGCTTGTATCCGCGATCTCGTTCTTTCGGTCGTTACCCAAAGCTCATGATCATAGGTGAGGATTGGGACGTAGATCGACCGGTAAATCGAGAGCCTGGCTTTCTGGCTCAGCTCCCTCTTCACCACGACAGATCGGCTCAGCGTCCGCATCACTGCAGACGCTGAACCATCCGCCTGTCGATCTCCCGATCCCTCCTACCCTCACTCGTGAACAAGACCCCGAGATACTTAAACTCCTCCACTTGAGGTAGGACCTCTCCCCCGACCCGGAGTTGGCAAGCCACCCTTTTCCGGTCGAGAACCATGGTCTCAGATTTGGAGGTGCTGATCCTCATCCCAGCCGCTTCACACCCGGCTGCAAACCTATCCAGCAAGAGCTGAAGGTCAGAGCTGGGTGAAGCTAGGAGGACCACATCATCCGCAAAAAGCAGAGACGAGATTCTCCTGCCACCAAACTCTGTTAAGGATTACTTCATACACTGTCAAATGTTTTCGAAAAGTAACTTTTATACCAATCACTGCTGAAGACTGCTTTGTACCTCTGGAACAAGGACATCAAACACCAAGTCCAGAAACTGGAACTCTCTTCTTTATTAGTTTATCTATTCCAGAGCATGAACCAATCCGCTCTGTCAGCTCGTCAACCTATAAAACACGTTAACATAAAAATGAACAAAACGTTCCTCTCAGCATTAGACAACGGACCCAGGTGGCCCACTGACCATGCATCCACATAAATAAATGTGATGCAGCTTATTGTAAGTCAGTATACATTTACCTGTGCATCAGCAAAGTGGAACATCAGTGGCTTTAGTCTTTGCTTTAATTTAAGCGAGACACCTGGATTGTGCCACAGATACATGAGGCCAGACTTCACTCCACCGCTGCAGAGATCCTTATACACAGTCTGAGTAGAGACAAGAGTTAAAAATAAGCAACATTACCACAGATAACAAGAGATTGCATTATCCTATGTCCAATTTTAGAGTCTTAATTTATTATAATTAAACATTACCTTGACTTCACCATCTGAAATCACTGCCTGGGTTCCATTTTTCAAAGCTTCGATTGTCCTGTAATTTAGATAAAAATACATCTTATTAGCAAATGAAGAATACAAGCACATGTAAGGAGTTTTGTCAGTGTCACTTGAAGAAGTCCGATATTCATTTTAGATCTATATTTAAGGCCTGTAACTCCTGAATGATTTGCAGCTACATGTGCTTAAATCCGGTAATATTAATATAAACCAAACCCGATCAAAGCAGTCAGTCAAAAATATCTATTTTTTATAAGGATAGGATTATTCTGAAACACAATCAGAAGGAGGGCGGCATTAATTAGAGAAGCGGCTACTATTTCAAAGTTATTGTACCTGTTGCAGGACACCTGATTTGTGCAACCACAGTAGAATGACCCAGCACACCACACACAATAACTGAAAAATATTTAGAGATATTGAAAGCTAAGCTTGTCCAGAAAATACATTTTATTTCTGGGTGCACAGGACCAGTTCCAGTGTGGGCCAGATGCTGAAAAATAAATTCATAAATCTGTCTTTTTTGAAGTTTCACAAATCTGAGGAAGGTTTCACAAATCACAAACTATGTTTTATGCATTCCTACGAGCCCAGAATAATCTAAAACAGGTTTGAAGAGTGTATGTGTTGTAGGTTTTGAGCTAGAGCAGAATAAAAATGGTCAGAGTAGAGAAAAATTGGGTGTATTAGCCCTTTAGCCATTTCCCGAATCGGAAGCTAACTTTAGCCTCGTATGAAAACTAGTGATTGAAACCACTTACAAATCTCTGAAAATCTACGCTTTTTAATTAAAAAAGGGTATTAATAACGTTTCAGTCAAGTCAGTATTAGAAATCGTGGTCTTTATATCATATCTAAATTATATATAAAGTTAAAATTATTACTTTAACTGTTTTAACAAACAGGGAGACCAGAAAAATCAAATAGCTAAGTTAAAGCTAAGCTACAATTGCTGATAGCTTTATTGATGTAGCTTTTGTGTTAGCTTGTGAACTCCCTGCATTCATTTTAAGACTGCGTGTTAATATTGATACAATTAGCTATGAAACACGGTGCCTTTGCAATAATTCTCTGGTAAAGCTTTAAACGCTACAGTGCCTACATTTAAGAACTAAGAACGGTTGCAACAATTAGTTAATTTCATCCTTATCTTTCTTTCTTTATCTATCATCCTTATCCTTACCTTTCCTCAATTGAAATCCGCCGAGTATGGTTGAAACAAAAACAACGTAGCGGCCGCCAAAAAAAGACCAACTTCCTGCCGAGGTCTTTCGCTCGTCGATTTTCCGGTAAAAGTAATGACACGCCATCTTGCTCTCGACACACCAGCTGATGTCTGCAGCCAGGTCCTACTCGAACTTCTTACTTTACTTGCTCTGAAGAAGTGCTGCCATCTGCTGGCTGCTTCCTGTCACAGCTCAGCCAGCCCCAAAACAAGAAGAAAGAGATGTGGAGAATAGATGCCAGACTTCACTTGCTGCAAAATGAGTATCATTCCCAGTTTCCCATTCAAATAAGAGTGGCACACTTTTTCTGTCCCCCCTGACCTCCATTTGTTTCCTGTCAGAGGTCAAGGTGTAACCTATGAAAGGAAAACCCAACTGGGTGTAAGCTTCCACCAAGAAAACGCTCTCCAAGCTACAGCTTAGGCGTTTTGGTCTTACTTCTGTTGTTATGAATGATCGGTGTCTCACATGATGCAGAAAGCTCTTTGAACGGCCTGTTCAAGTGTTTGTTTGAAGAAACTGGGATTAGTTTGACCAGACTGACAAGCTAACAGTTAGGCCAAGTGAAGATATGTTAAGCTTTAAGTTTGACTTTTCTTGTTTTTTTACAGGTAAAATTAGCAGCACAGTTAGGTAGCTAGCTGTCTTTAATACTTAGCTCTTTTCAGATTATTTAAGATAACTCTGCCTTACCTCTGGTTATTGTTGATTTGCATCACTTTTAAAACATGTGCAGGGATGTTGGCCAGATGTTCATCCACATCCTGCTTCTACAGACAGACTACAACAATACAACAGCACCTTAAACAACGACTCCAGTTCTGAGCATTGTGAAAATGAGGTGACCTTTCATCTATCTTTAAGTTTGTCGTATTTTTAAAACTAGAATTTTTCTTTTTTGAAATGGCAGGAATCTATCTATTTATGACTAGCAGTTAGCTTATCAACCCATTCCGAACAAATTTCTTTTTCTTTAAATTTGATTTGTTTAAAGAATTCTTAAATTAAAAAAAAATCAGATCTCTCTCTAAAACTTATAAATAACGATTATTTTCATCACTTTCAAAAACCCAACACACAGTTTTAGCAAGAAGAATCCAGAAACTACAGCATTTAATGATTAGTGACAAAAGGAACCGGTCTCTGATTAATCCTGAGTGTGTTGTGGAAAATTCACTGATTAAACAAAGACAAGCAGAACAAAGCATCTCTTTGGGTTTAGGGATTTGAGTATTTACCCATTTGAGAAATCTGTGATGACAAAGGGAAGGCAGGGGGTGGAGTTTGGGTGTGTCGCACTGAAAGTGGGAGGGACTACCTGGAGGCTCAGGAAGAATCACCTGTTGGTGAGATTCAGAGGAAAGTGGGAGCAGTGAAGGACGGCAGAGCTACTCAACAGAAAACAATCATGCAGAGTAAGTTAACTACTTTACAAATAGATCTAGATTATTTACTCAATGGTTATTTTGATGCTTTTAGGGTATTGGTGTTTATTTTATTAACAACAGACTGCAGGAAAATCGTCTTTGATACAAGATTGTAGAAAAATGACTAAGTGATGAATATTGAAGCCTATTTTTATCATCTGGTAAACGTCTGCATAGGGGCTGGTGAGCTAAATCATGAGCAGGTGACTAGTCTGCATAGATCTTTTTAAGTTTCAGAGACCAGCGGTTTAGATTAGAAGTAAGATAATAAGAAGAGGAAGTCTGTTCTTTAAAGAATATTATCAAAAAAGTATTTCTTTTGTTTTTGTTGCTGACTCCATTCACACAGCAATGTACCAGAAGGTCTCGATTGTCTGCATTCCTCAGATTCCTTCAGCCAACGACAGACAAGTTTAAAAGCACGCGTTTGGACCACTTGTCCCTTAATAGTATTTCTGTAGGTCTACATATAACCGAATCATAAAGTTTGTCTCAATAATCTCATGTAAGCCAACTTTGCTGCCTCTGTTGGTTCAAATGTACACATAAGATACCAGAGTCAACTTTACCATTGGCTCGTTGCGTCTGTTGGGCAATCACAGCTTCCACCACCCACCACCACCCCACCCGACCCCCCATTCTGTTAGAATGCAAGTTATTCTCATTAAAGTTGCTGTTTTGAGCTGGGGGGTAAAATAGCAACCAGGCAGTTTAGATTCAACATCAAACGATGACGGCAGACTGGGGGCTTGGCTACCTCCCATACATTTCAGCAAGTAGTTTAACTATACGTAAATGGATACACACTCAATCCTAAAAGTTGATGAGATCTCCAGATGAAATGTTTTTTTAAGCCCAACTCTCATTGAAATGATTAAGCTACTCTCAGGTACCACAACAACTTTGCCACAGTAGTGACAGCCATTTTGGTGTTTGCAGAGTTTCCTGGGCTGTGAAAGCCATCTTTGACTCCAGAGAGAAACGGAAGTTACGGTGTAACTATGGTTCTGTGAGTTCCTGGATGACTGCCAGTGGCAGTAAACAGAGTGGATGTATCTCCTCGCGCTCTGCGCAGGTCGAGTACTAATGTAAACAAAGTCACGCACGTGACACGTAGCGCACCTGGTCGCGAGTCTATAAATTACGCGCCGATAGCTACGTTCGGGTCTCCCGGGATCTTCTCGCCCGAGAAGTTCCGAGTGACCCCTGTGACTGGCAGTCATCCAGGAACTCACAGAACCATAGTTACACCGTAACTTCCGTTCTGTTTCGTTCCCTCCTGACTGCCAGTGGCAGTAAACAGAGTGGATGACTTATGCCAGAAGTGTCACGAGGAACATAAAACTCACCGTCACTCAGGAGGTAGCCGCCAGAGGCAGCACCGCCGAAGCGAGCGCGGACCCGTGGCCAACGTTGAGGCGGTAGAAGCGTGCAAACGTGTACGGAGTTGCCCAGGACGCCGCAGCACAGACGTCCGCCAGTGGCACACCTCTCATCGCCGCCCAGGATGTAGCAACGCTCCTGGTGGAATGGCACACGATCCCAGGGGGAGCCACGGCACCCACTGCCGCGTAAGCCATCGCAATGGCGTCCACGACCCAATGCGACAGCCTCTGCTTCGAGAGGGCCCGACCCCTGTTCACTCCTCCGTGACAGACAAACAGCTGGTTCGACTGCCGGACAGTGTTTGTGGCCACAATATAGAGCTGCAGTGCCCGGACCGGGCACAGCAAATTCGCCCGCCGTTGTTCCTCCGAGTGAAATGGGGGAGGGAAATACGCCCCCAGCTCGATTGCGGCATTCACGTAGCCCGCGGGCAGAACCTTGGGAAGAAAGGCGACGTTGGGCCACAGCGTCACCCCCGACCCATCTGCCTTGCACCGCAGGCAGGCGGGGCTGATGTCCAGTGCGTGCAGCTCACTGACCCGTTTAGCCGACGTCACTGCCAAGAGAAAGGCGGTTTTCACAGACACCACTGCCAACGGGGCGGTAGTCATTGGCTCAAAGGGTGGCCCACACATGGCCCGCAGGACCAGGGGAAGGTCCCAAGCAGGTGCCGGCCTGCACAAGGCAGGACGCAACCTTCTCACGCCCCGCAGAAACTGGGTCACCAAACAGTGAGCCCCAATGCTCCTGCCATCCACCAAGAGGTGGTTGGCCGAAATAGCCGCCAGGTGTACCTTAAGGGTCGAGGCGGCCCGGCCCTTGTCGAACAGGTGCCGGAGGTACCGCAGAACCTCATGCAGGGAACAAGAACCAGGGTCCACGTCCCTGCCAGAACACCAGGTAGCGAACCGCTGCCAACAGCGAGCGTACGTGGCCCTTGTAGACGGAGCCCTGGCACTATCCAGCACCTGCTGGATGGAGGGCTCTAAGCCGACTGGGGGCTGCCTGCCCCTTTCAATGGCCACACCGTGAGCCGAAGATGATCTGGGGACGGATGCGAAATCCTCCCCTCCATCTGAGACAGGTGGTCCCGTCTCGCCGGCAACCGCCATGGCTCTCCATTCAGCAGACTGAGAAGCAATGGAAACCAGAGCCTCATGGGCCAGTCTGGCGCCACCAGAAGGACCTCGTGTGACGAGTCCCTCACCCGATGGAGGGTTGGTAAGATCAACGGAGACGGCGGGAAAGCGTACAGCCGAACCAACGGCCAGGCATTGGCGAGGGCGTCCATCCCCAGAGGGGCGTCGGCCTCTGCCAGGGAGAACCACAGAGAGCAATGTGTGCTGCTCCTCGAGGCGAACAGATCCACCTGGGCCTCTCCGAACTGATGCCACACCCTCTGCACCACCTGAGGGTGCAACCTCCATTCCCCCGGGGGAAAACCCCGCCGGGACAGGCAATCCGCCACCGAGTTCCTCCACCCCGGAAGGTGCAGCGCCCTGATGGAGGCCAAGCGAGGGTAAGCCCAGGTCAGCAGCGTCTGAGCCTCCCTCAACGATCTCAACGACCTGGTGCCCCCCTGATGGTTTATGTGGAACACCGCCGAGGTGCTGTCCATCCGGATGAGCATGTGCTTGCCCCGCAGAAAGGGCAAGAAGCGCCTCAGCGCCAAGTAGACGGTCTTCAACTCCAGGACATTGATGTGAAGCCGTGCCTGACGGGGGCTCCACAACCCCTGGACCGACCTGCACTGCCAATGCGCCCCCCACCCCCGGGGTGACGCATCCGTCGTGACCACCTCCCGTCTGGCGGGAACCGCGCCAAGCGGGACGCCGAGACTCAGGTAGGCGACATCGTCCCAACGACGCAAAAGAGCCACACAGCTGCTCGTGACCTCCAGCTCGACCCGTCGGTGTCGCCGGGGATCCAGGCGGAAGCCGTTGAACCACCTCTGCAAGGGCCGAAGGTGGAGCAGCCCGAGAGGCACCAGTGCAGAAGCCGAGACCAGCATCCCCAACAGTCGCAGCCACACCTGGACCGGGGGTGCCGCCCCAAGGCGAAAGGCCCGGAGCAAGGACCGAATACGGACCCTCCTCTGCTCGGTCAGCCTCGCCCGCATGGCCACAGAATCTATGGCAATGCCGATAAAATCCACCCGCTGAGTCGGAACCAGAGAACTCTTCTGCAGGTTCACCGTCATCCCCAGCACCTCGACGTGGGCAAGGACCCTGGCCGTGGCCAGACCCACTTCGCGACACGACGGCGCGCAGACGAGCCAGTCGTCGAGATATGGCAGGACCTTCAACCCCGCCCGACACAGGGGGCTCAGGGCTGCCTTCAAGCACCGCGTGAAAACTCGGGGGGCGAGAGACAGGCCGAATGGCAGAACCAGAAACTGGTACACCCTCCCGAGGAAAAAAAACCGCAGGTACTTCCTGTGCCCCGGATGGATCGGGACATGGAAGTATGCGTCCTTGAGGTCTATGGTCGTAAACCACTCTCCCGGACAAACCACCTGAAGGACATCGCGAGTCCGAAGCATGCGGAAGGGCAGCACCTTCAGGAACCGATTGAGACCCCTGAGGTCCAGTACCGGCCGCAGGGGCCCGTCCTTCTTGGGCACCAAGAAATACGTCGAATAAAAGCCGTCTGCCTGCAAATGCGGCGGAACGACCTCTATGGCCCGTTTGTCCAGGAGCACATCTATTTCCTGCATCAGGATGCTGACCCGTGCAGGATCTGTGACCGAAGTCACCCTGACCCCCGAAGGGGGTGGGGGCCGACGGCGGAACTGCAACCTGTAGCCCTGGGACATAGTTCGAACCACCCAAGCGTCTCCGCATTGGGCCTCCCAGAGGGCCAGGTGCTGTGGTGTAAATCTGCCCGCCGCCGGCCCACAGCCCTCAGGCCGTGTCCCGACGCCTGTTTGGGGCCCTGGGGGGGCGGCGGCCCCTGTCCTGCCCCGAGGATCCCCGGGGCGGGGCCTGACCTGCCCCCGAGCGTCTCCAAGTCCCTGCCGCAGCCGCGGCCTGCTGGGCGACCTGCAAGGGGGCGGCCGGACGAAACCGGCGCCGAGGGTCCCGTGCCCCTCGTGGCCTGGACTGTGGCATGGGGAGGACCCCTGCCCCGCTACGCCCACTCCAGGCCTCTGCGGCTTGTCTGGACGTTCCAACGCCCGCTCAGCCTCGGGCCCGAACAACTGGCCCGGCACCACGGGCAGACCGCGCAGGCTCTGTCGGCAATCATCCGACACCGGAGCCTGCGCCAACCAGACCTGACGGCGAGCCACTACCAGCGTGCCCAACAACCGACCAAGCTCCCTGGACATCAGCCCAAATGCTTGCAGGGCTGCGTCGTTCGTATCGCCCAGTGCCATCCCCGCTGCGCCCGACTGCAGCATCTGGGACTGGGCTAGCAACAGCACCAACAGCGAATTGCTGGTGCGTGCCATCCGTGCCCCGATGTCGTAAGCCCGGCACAGTAAGCTGTCGGTCACCCGACACTGGGTGCTCGGACAGCGGACCCTGTCCCTCAATGCCTCATCCGGGGAGAGCACCAGAGAGGCAACGCAGTGGTCCACCGGGGGCATGCGGTCCAACCCGTAGGTTCCTGCCTCCCGCATCGATGCCAGGGTCCTGGCATTCCTACCATGGTGGGAGAGCTGTCTCGGGTCCCCCCAGCACCGCTGCAGCTCCTCCACAAAGGCTGGCGATGGTGGGACCTGAAACGGGGGCGCCGCCGGAGCCCGGCGGAAGAAGGGATTCCCCGCCGGACGGGCCACCGGCACGTCGTCCAGTCCAATCCTGGCCAGTGCCGCTCGCAAAATCGCCCGCAACTGACAGGGGTCCTCCGCCAGCTCCGAGCTTGCTGAGCTATGGAGAGACATCCCCGAGTCACCGTGACCTCCCAGGCCCGGGGGCTCCATCACCAGCCCCTGACTACGGCCAGGAGAGGGGCCCTCCTCCTCGAGGGACTGAAACTCAGAATTTGAGGCCCTCACAGAGATCAGGTCGTCCGGGCCCCCCTCGTCCGGGGCTCTGGTCAGCAGCGCTTTGAGCTGTTCCACCTCCGCCCGCAAAGAGTCCACTTCCTGGCGAGAGGGTTGCGCCACACGCCGCTTCTTGCGCCTCGGGCTGCAGCGTTCCTCAGCCGGTCTATCCCTCCGTCTCCCGGAACACGGGCGAGGGACACCAGAGGGCGGCAGGTCTGACTCAAACAGGAGGCACTCCACTTGACGTAGCCTGTCCTCCTGCACCGCCAGCGGCAAAATGCTGCAGTTCATGCACGGGTCAGTCAGCGCCTCTCTGAGGTGACCGACGCCCAGGCACTTAGGACACAAGTCGTGGCCGTCCTCCACCTGGAGGGGAGCCCCGCATGACGTACACTCCAACATCCTTACCGGTGTGGGAGACGCCAGCGACTCCACAGGAACTGAGCGAGGACTTCGAGGAAAACTGAAGAACGCGATTCAGTCCTGGAGTTGTAAAACAACGCACGTGTGTGTGTGTCGGCTAGGTAATCTGAGCGTGCCACCACCACGGTCAGAACGTCCAGGCCCACTCACCGGTAACGTTGTAAAACAACACACGTGCGTGTGTGTCGGCCAGGTAATCTGAGCGTGCCACCACCACGGTCAGAACGTCCAGCCCCACTTACCTGTAGCGCTCGCCGGCCGCACTCACCTCCCCTTTCCACAGGGGAAAACCTGCGACCGCCAGCGAGCCCTATCCGAGCCGGCAGCGGCGGTCCGAACGGCGCCGGCCGGCCGCACCACCCGCACTCGGTAACAATTAGCAGATAAATAACAGCGTCAATCCACCGCCCCAGAGGGCTCCTTCGAGCGCTCCGACCACACGGTCCCGGGCAGGAAGACGCCAAGTAAAAACAGTACTCACCTCTCAAGACCGATAAGATCCGAATCACGGACTTACGGAGCGATTGACCAGCGAAGCACGCCAGGCCAACAGCGAGAAGATCAAAGAGACCCGAACGTAGCTATCGGCGCGTAATTTATAGACTCGCGACCAGGTGCGCTACGTGTCACGTGCGTGACTTTGTTTACATTAGTACTCGACCTGCGCAGAGCGCGAGGAGATACATCCACTCTGTTTACTGCCACTGGCAGTCAGGAGGGAACGAAACAGAACTGATGTGTAGATCCGATGAATAGTTTTACAGATTCTTCTAAATTTAGTTCTGTCCACTGGTTACTAGAATATTTTCTGACCGTTTTTTGCTAATATCTTGGATTAGGGCTGAACGATATTAGGAAAACCTGCGATATTCGATAACAATGATTGCGATGACGATATTACTAAATAAATAAAAACTTAACGCAGGAACAAAAATAATGAAAAACAAAAAAATTAAAAAATCATAAAAATGAGAAAAGCAAAAGGTGTGAGGAAATGGAAAAAGAAAATAAACAAGAAAAGGCAATCCGTTAATCCTGGGAAAAGCAGAATCAGCAAAAAGAGCAGAACAAAGCTAACTCAGGTGTTTGCTAACCATCAAAATTAAGTGCGGTCCGCCTCCGGGCGGACATCTAACCTATGAGAACCAACCCAATTGGCCAAATGGATGAAGAGCTCTATTTGCTTTGTTAAAAAACCATCATGCTTTCGTTTGACAGAATGCATTATGTGTAGCAAACATCTGTGCTGACCAGTCATTGCGATATTCATCTGTTGTTTGCGATATGAATATTGTGCATGCTGATATCACAATAACGATATATTTACAATATATTGTGCAGCCCTACCTTGGATGAACTGCACAAAGTATGTGTGTGAATAAAACCCCAGTTTTGAACCACATTTTAGCTCCAAATTTTCTAAGTTGCAAACATTAATATATTTCCCAATGCCATTTAGCTGTAGCAGCCATCTTGAATCAGCATCAGTAGTAAATGTCCATCCATTGATCTTTTACTGGCAGTTTGAATAAAACACACCTAGTGGTTTATGAGATATTTTTCTTGATCAGATATTGCATGGCGTGGGTGTTTCCTTGGTAATTCCTGGAGAATTTGGTGTCACGTTGGTACACAGAGGTCATCCGAGGTTAACTTGGGCTGTAGTAGCATTTCAGTTTGATCTACACAAATCAGACATGATGAAACAAAGATAAACATCGCTTCATTCATGCATGCCACCATCTTACTTTGTTCTGTTTTGTTGTTTGGACATATTGTTGCGGCTTGTATATTGTATGGATGTGTGGGTTTCCTCCAGTTTCCTCCTGCAGACATGCATGTGAGTTAATAAGATACTCTAATTTGTCCCTACAATGAGTGTCCGTCTCTGTATATGGCCCATAGTCATCATCACTCACTGGTGAAATTCATCTCCACATTTGACCCATTCCCATGGAGGGGAGCGGTGAGCTGCAGCAGTGGCTGCGCTCGGGAACTATTTGGTGGTTTAACCCCCGAATCCAACCCCTTAAAGCTGAGTGTCAAGCAGGGAGGCATTGGGTCCCATTTTGAAGTCTTTGGTATGACCCGACCAGGAATTGAACTCCAATCTCCCAGTCCCAGGGTGGACACTCTGCCACTAGAGCTGAGGAAAATAATCAAATAATTGATGCATCGAGATACGGACATAAATGATTCTGCATCGTAGAAGAGTACAAGAGTAGTTTTTTGTTATGGCTGCACCAGCGCAGCATCCAAATCTGTCAGAGCGGGTGTTTGTTCTCCACATTTACCAAGTATTTTTCCGCCTTCATGTGGTACTGCAGGGCTGAGCACTGGAGTTGTAACCTGAGACCGAACCTGAACCAAATCAGACTGACCGGTTCTGTTGGATTTGGGCCGACAATTATGTTAATTGAGCGGGTTGCAGAGAGAGAGAGAGAGAGAGAGAGAGAGAGAGAGAGAGAGAGAGAGAGAGAGAGAGAGAGAGAGAGAGAGAGAGAGAGAGAATCTGCGGACGCTCCTCCAAACACACATTATTATTTTCATAATGTAAGTATTATTTGTCCTGGAAGCGCTCAGTCAGACCGAGTGTTGTGATGTCGGGAGATCCGGTCTTGGGGAGGGGGCGGGGTCAGTGACGGCAGCTGCAGCGTAATGATCTGTCTCTTTTATTTAGGGACACAGAGAAGTTAAAAGGAGAGAGAAATAGAAGATAGAAGTTTTTGTGCCACTTTATTCTTTTGTTTCATGATGATAAACTGATGTTAAATTAAACTTTAAAAAACTGGGAGGAAGCTTTGGTTCATTTTAGGTTACAGGAGATCTTGTCTCCTATCTGCTCCTCCAGAGACAGCATGGACATGAGGGTCACACAGGACAGGTCAGTGGAAAGGTTTGTAGTTAGCTGGTTAGTGACGGAGATCCATCAGCTGGGTAATTTAATCCTAATCCAGCCCACAGCCTTCTGCTGGTGTTATTATCAGAAAGAATAAAACACACATCTTAAATATTATTGGAAGTGTAGAATTTGTTTTATGTTTTATTGTTTTCTGCATCAAACAGAACTTGATTCATTCTCCAACATTTCAGAAATGAACCACTGGGTTCAAATAAAATAACAAACCAAGTCAAACATTTCATTTGTTGTTATTTCTGACATCCTTGAACTGTGGCATAAATATTTGACTCTAAAGTTGCTCAGAGACATTAAACACTCATATATGAACCCATTATGTATTTTATTATTACATTATGTGACCTGTAAGTTTTCAGTACTTTTTTAGATTTTGTGAGTTTTTGCAAAGTGTGTTTTTCTCAGCCTGAGGCGTGGTGTTGAACCAGGAAACAGATGTTTTACTTTGTTAAATCTTCTTAAACGTTTAAAATGTTTTGTCCTAACCTGTTGTGAATTGAGAGCTATTCAGGGATGGCAGGTTGTGTCAATTAAGTTTTTGATAAAATAAAAAAATAAAATGCTATTATCTGACATCTTCTGTTTATCAATGAAAACAAATCAATATGAAATAATCGTGATGCATCGGGACATTGAATTGAATTGAATTGTTGACCCAATAATCGTAATCGAATCGGGAGACAAGTGAAGATTCACACCTCCCCTTCCCCTTCCACAGCGCCTGCAGGATAAAGACACCAGCTCTCTTTGACCATCTGTGTGTGGTGAAGAGAATGAGGGTGTTTGATCAAAAACGTTACGTGTGTCTCTCTGTTCCCTCTGTCTTCCAGGAGTTGGCTCTCCGGGAGGCCGTGTCCTCTCTGAAGACCAGTTCACCTGCTCCATCTGTCTGGAAATATTTGTGGAGCCCGTCTCCACACCATGTGGCCACAGTTTCTGCAAGGCCTGCCTACAGGGCTACTGGAACCACAGCAAGAAGTTCCAATGCCCCATGTGCAAGAAGACCTACTCCAGAAAGCCCGAGATGAGCGTCAACCGGGTCCTGGCTGAAATATGCACCCAGTTCCAGGGCCTGATGACGGCTGCAAGCCCAGCAGGAAGTCCAGCACGAGGGGCAACTCTGACTTCAAGCTCAGACCCGAGCCACAACAGCTCTCAGGACCCCGGGGAGTTCGCCCAGCCTGGAGAGGTTTCTTGTGATGCTTGCATCGGAAGGAAGTTAAAGGCCATCAAGTCTTGTGTGAACTGCCCTGGGTCATACTGTGAGACCCATCTCAGGCATCACAAAAAGGTTTTCTTTTCTTTTCTAGCTTTACTCTTGAACTCACCCGTGTTTATGTTCATATCTGCGTTGGACCACTTAAATCCATTGACTGTTTCATCCAGGTCAAAACTTCCCATCGACTGATTGAGCCCACCCTCCACCTAGAGGAAAAGATCTGCAAGAAGCACGAGCGTGTTCTGGACGCTTACTGCCGCACGGACCACACCTGCATCTGCGCCGCTTGTTCAGACACCACGCACAAATCCCACGATGTTGTCTCCATCGACCACGAGTTCAAGAAAAAGACGGTAAGCTATAGCGGTAGTCTCTTGTGAAGCCTACTTTACATTGATGTGATCACACTTTAATTACAAAAAGCAGATGTTTGGTTTTCTTTTTGCAGAATTATCTGGGAAAGAAGAGGTCAGAGCTGAAGTACCTGATTAAGGAGAGAGCCAAAAAACTGGAGGAAATCAAGCAGTCCATCAAGGTTATCAAGGTGAGTCCACGGTAGACTGTTGGGGAGTGTTATCAAAACCAAAATCTTCATCGTTTGTCTAAAACTTGATTTAATTCTTGAAACCTATTTGCTCGTCTTTGAATGGCTCAGATGGACCAAATCAGGTTTTTTTGAACATTAAAAGTGTTTTTTGCAAATCGATCTATAGAAAGATGGATAGATTAAATTTAAATTACTTGAAGAAATATTAGGCAACCCCTACCAGAGAGTTAGCCATTAGCTTGTAAATCAAGAAGGGCACAACGGCTATTTCTCTGAAAGGAGGCTACCAAATAACAAGGTCAAAAATATTTAGTTACAACATTGAAATGTAAAGGGAGGGTATGGGTTCCTGAAAAAAGCTGTTCGAGGAAACTACATTTGAGAAACAAAAAACACAATTCAAAGGTCCGACCCCCTTTTCTCCTGGCTCCTCCATTTAAGCCCCGCCTCCAGAATAAAGGTGAATGCCAGACGCAGTGAATAGTGTTGGGAAACCATAAAACCATAACTTGCCTAGAAGAAATGGAGTCACCATGGCTAAGGTTTGGAGCCCTTTGGGTTCCTTAGGTTGCACCCGCGTTCAAATGCAGCACCAAACCACACTCTGGCCTTATTCCGCTCTTCATCAGCCTTTTTCCTGGCCATAGCCTTTTCAAATGTAGTTTTACATTTTGGTTGGCACATTTTTGTTCTATCCTCTGTCCCAGTAATTTGAGAGAGGTAAGTGGTTGCTTTTGAGCTAAACTACGAAACTGAGACGCAACACATGTCTATGCTCCATTTTGTTTTATTCAAAAGAACCCAGAAACTTCCCTGCTCAGGCGCAAAATACAGATTTTTGTCCAGACAAAAGTAATCGATCACACAGTCATCGAGCACCCAGTACTCTGTCAGATAAACTGCAAAAATAACATGTTTTTATACTTTAGTACTGCATTTCTCTATTCCATGCAATAACAACCATGACAAAAATAGTTATAAAATATTGTATGGCTCCTTTTTAACTGTATAAACTGGTCTCTTGAACATATTCCTTTTTGTAGCCTATAATCTGTCACAATACTCCCCCTCAAAATAGATGTTTTCCCCAACATCAGGACATGAACCACACAATAAAACTCTTGTGGCATTTCAACCGAATACAGTCACAGACCGGACTGCAGACACGTATTGTCTCAACAGTCCATGACACTATGGAGAACAAACACATCACACTTATCACGTAAAAAAACGAGAAGAAAAAAATAAATAAACACAGTACCGTACCATCACAGCCCATCTTAAAGATGTGAGGCCGGCAAAAGTGCAGCCCTTAAACATATGGATGTATACTGTCTACCCACAGCATGTTCTGTTCCAGGTAATAAGGCAAAGACTGTATGCAATAACAAATTGGTGTACCCAATGTATCAGAAGTGAATACTTTAGGTTTTCTACAGTCATGCTTGGGTCTTTGAGTCACTCCATGGGCAGGTTCATTGAAGGAACATGAAAAAGGCGAGTGAGAAGAAGGAACCTCAAGAGGCTGAACTTCAGCCTGACCAATGTCATCTTCGAATGGTTCCTCAACCTGACCAATGTCATCTTCGGATGGTTGGTCAGCTTCTGTAGCTCCAGGTTCTGTCCTCCTCAGCTCGTCCACAGGCCCATTGTATTCCTGCTGGGCCGGTCCCGAGGTCTCAGCTGGCTGTGGGGATTCAGATTTTAAACGCGGACAAGGAACCGGATAATACTCATTGTCCTCGTCGTCCTCGTTGGAGTTGGCCTCTGGTGTCTCAGATGACCTGGCAGAATTTGTTTGCTTTGGCCGAGACTGCAAGGGAGTTTCCAATGGCAAATGGTCACATGGCAGTAAGAGATTTCGATGCAAAGTTCTAGACCTGCCTTTTCCATTTTCAGGTTTCAGTTCATAAACAGGAATGTCTTTACTCACTTGACGGACAACTGTATGAATAACATCCTCCCAATGATTTCTCAGTTTGCCTGTCCCCCCAAGTGGAGTCAAGTTCCTAACTAAAACGTGATCACCAGGCAACAGGGCAGAATACCTCACCTTCCTGCCATACAGTTTCTTACTCTGAACAGCAGCTTTAGCCACATTTTCCTGAGTGATCTCAGAAGCCTCTTTCATATCCTGCCTCCACCTTTGCATGTAGCTTTGATGGTCAATATGACCCTGGTCTGTATTTGGAGATAAATTGAACAACATGTCCACTGGTAACCGCGGTGACTGTCCTTAAAGCAAGTAAAAGGAGAAAATCCCATCACTCCACTCTTCGTAGCGTTATATGCATAAACCAGTTTATTCAGGGAGTCTTTCCAGTTACCCTTCTGTTTCTCAGTGAGTGTTTTCAACATCTGAATCAAAGTGCGGTTAAATCGCTCGACTTGCCCGTTTCCCTGTGGGTGATAAGGGCTGGTTCTTGACCATGTAACCCCACAGTATTTCTGCAGTTGTGCAAAAAGCTGATTCTCAAACTCACCACCTTGGTCATGGTGAAGTCTCTGTGGAAACCCAAACTTCAAAGCATAGTCATTAAAGATTTTGTCTGCTGCGGTTTTACCAGACTTGTTTGTGGTGGCATAAGCCTGGGCAAAATGCGTGAAGTGGTCCACAATAACAAGTACATACTCATAGCCACCCTTACATTTGTCCAAGTGTAAGAAGTCCACAGAAACAAGTTCAAAAGGCTGAGTAGTGACTATGTTTGTGAGTGGGGCTCTAATCCCGTGACACGGTTTCTTGGTTTTAAGGCATACACAGGTTCTCATCACATAGTCCTCTATTTCCTTTTGCATGAAAGGCCAGTAAAAACGGTCCCTTACCAAGGAAGTGGTCCTCTCTATCCCTTGGTGGCCCATTTCATCATGCAGTTATTTTAACACAGTCACTCTGTGTTTTTCTGGTAGCACCAGTTGTCTTCTGTGTGTTGTTTGTCTACACAAAACACCCCTGTCACCAGTGTTGGGAGTAACGCTGTTTAAATATAACGGTGTTACTAACGGCGTTCTTTTTTAGATAACGGAATGATCTAATCAATTACTTTTCCCACTGTTGCAACGCCATTACCGTTACTGGGGACGGAAGTTTATGCGTTACTTTGTGCTTGTCGAACTTTGAGCAACAGTGTGAGGCTTTCTGACAGCCACGCTTCAGCTGCAGCCAGGGAGAGAGAGGTGTCAGTAATGCACTTACAAACACGATGATGATTGGCCGAGTGGGCGGAGGCTCTAACGCCGTTTAAAATAACCATGTTAATAAAAAAATATTTCTTTCAGTAACGAGCAAACTAATTAATTACCCTCTTCTTTTAACAAAACGATCGTTTCTGTTACTGATAAGTAAATGCGTGCGTTAAGCAGCGTGATGTGTTGAAGCTGTCATCTTTCTTATCCGGCTCTCAGAGAGTACAGACGCTTTTGCTTAGCTCCCTTATCTGCTTTTCCCAAGGCTCTCTGTCCTGTCTGCCTACAGAGCACTTCTCTGCATTTCTCCTGAAAATCACTACTTCTTTTTGGAAAATGGACTTAATTAACTGGTCATTTAACGCGATTGATAAGATTTTTTCTATGATGAGAACGGAGAAGGGGGTTCCCACCTGTCCTCAAGGGACATACGCAGCAGGATATGCACTCGATTCTTGGGAGGTCTGGCGAATCGTGTGCCTCTCTCAGTTGTCCATCGAGGACGTGGAAGATTTGTGGGTATTCGGCCTGATGATCACTGGATTTCTTCTGATTGGAGTGGGTGGGTATCTGGTTTTCTGGAAATTTGGGAAGACGGGAGTGATTGGAGTGCGACCCGTACCCACGGAATGTGCCGCCCGTGCGGTGACCTCACAGACTGGGACGTTACTCGAGGTGAACCGTAAGCTGGACAATGTCCTCTCGGCGTTGCCTGTGTTAGTGCGCAAGATGGATGTCATCTCGGAGAGGGTCGCCGGACGGTGTGGGGATGTTTAGAACGTATAATTGGCTTCACTGGTGGACATGAATGATCACTTAATAGACTCCAAGGCAGAGAGGAAAATTGTCTCTGTCTGCCCTAAACAAAGTCTTGTTTATCCTAATCTGATGCCAAGGCAGGTGGGGTCTGTCTACCCTGCTGACATTTTCAAAAGAGACATCCGGTCTAATGCAGTAAATAAGATATCGGTTCAGAATACCACAGAATACACTACCAGTGAACAATGGGACCCCCCTGTTGTCTTGTCTCATCTGGATGAAAATGAAAAAAAAAGATTGTTCAGCAGATGTTAAGAGAGGAATGTGCATCATTTTCACTAACAGATGATGACATAGGATGTGTGGAGAGCTTGCAAATGGACATCTTGTTAAAGGACACAGAGCCTGTTTCAAAAACATATCGGTCTTTACCTAAGCCCTTGTATAGGGAGATAAAGGACTACTTACAGGACTTGATAGCACAGGGATGGGTGGAAAAGTCTACCTCCTCCTATTCATCCCCTGTAGTCTGTGTGAGAAAAAAAGATGGTTTGATGGGCTTATGTATTGATTATAGAGTGCTGAACCGTAAGACACACCCCGACCGGCACCCAATACCCCGGGTACAGGATGTAATGGATAACTTGGGGGGTAACACCATCTTCTCCCTGCTGAACCAAGGCAAGGCGAATCAGGGGTTTATGTCCAAACATAATAGACATTTAACTGCCTTCGTGACCCCCTGGGGCCTTTACGAGTGGATTAGGATTCCCTTTGGCCTAATGAACGCACCAGCTGCATTCCAGCGAAATATGGAGCAATGCCTGGAGGGTCTGCGGGACGAGATATGTGTTCCCTATCTTGACGACATTCTCGTGTTCAGTCGATCCTTTGAAGAAAACGTTGAGGATGTCAGGAGAGTATTATGTTGACTAAGAGACCATGGCATAAAACTCAAAGCACATAAATGTGACATTTCTACTGAGATATCTCGGTAGGATTGTTTCTGCTGAGGGAAATAAAATAGACCCAGCAGACACAGTAGCAGTACG